GTGTAGCCGAACAATGCTAAAAAAGGGGGACGTCTAAAGCGGAGGCAACTCATATTTAATAAAGTTTTCGATTAACTTTAGGGTTAGGCTTCCTATATCAGGGGTAGTTTAGGGTTTAGGTGGTTATATATGTGCAAAATTGCCTTCCCGACATTTTTAAATAACCTACCAAGGCAGGTTTAGACTGCCGTTTTTTGTATTTTTCGCGTTTTTATTTTTATTTCTTGTTTTGCTTCGCCGGCAATCATCAAAATTCTATAATTTGATTGGGTGTTGATCACGTGACTGACTCGTTTTAGACGACCCTTTTTTTGGGTTAACTCTTGTAGAGCAGTGTGACGAACATCAAATCGAACAGGTTTGAATGCTATCTAATAATAATCTAAAACATACAATACATATTACAGTCTCTAGTTTTCTAATAACATTTGGTATTCAAAATACTTTCAATATTATTCTCTAATCATGAAAAATTATGTGAATATATAATTGAATTTAAGCATAGTTACAAGTTTTTTCAACTTGGCAACATTAATTTGTAAATTATTTTAATTTTTATTTTTATCAATTAAATTAATATAGATATCTTAATATTTTAAGCTTATTAATAGTAATTGTTTTGAGAATTTAGTAATTTCAACAACAATCTTGTATAGTATTAATTCTGGGTTTCACTTTTTGTTTATTTTAAATATTTCTTATAAGCCTAAAAAGTACAGATTTTGTTATTAACAATATCTATTTAAAGTAATCTAATAGATGATCTTAATATAAACTTTTGGTAACTAGTTAAATTATAATTTAAATCTATTGTAATAGATTATATATAAAATCTTATAACAATGTAATAATTATAATTATACTAATTAATAAGATATAAAATTTTATGCCTATATATTATTTTACTTATGAATAAGTTCTACATTTATTTTATTTCACTCCTAGTATTTATATACAAAATATTTAAATACTGGTATATTTTAAATAGATTAAACAGATTAAAAGATTATTTAAATTATATAAAAATTGAATTTTGAATTATACAGATTATATGAATTTTATAAATATATAAATTAATATACTATATTAAATATATTAATTTTTATGCAAATTATCTAGATTTGAATAAATTATATTTTTAATTAATATTATTGTATTATTTAATACTTATTACTATCAAGTTTATTTATTTAATTTAGTTTTTACAATATTATATAACATTATTATTATTAATCTTACTTAATATTTCAAAATACTAAAACCTTTTATTCTCTATATAAATTTTTAAAAAATAAATTATTAAAAATATTATTATAAACAGAGTTTTGTATGAAATATAAAGAGTATATAATTTGTAAACAAAAAATAATAATTACAATTAACTAAATATATTCTAAAAAAATATAATTAGAAAATATTAAAGAAAAATATAAATTTTTCTTAAATAGTTACAAGATACTAATAAGATATTAATTTTAATAATTTATAATATATTAATTTCATTGCTATAACAAAACAGGTAATTTTGTTATTTTCAACATCTTAGTATATTAGTACAAAATATAATAAGATTAAGAAAATATTTATCTGTTTTTTAAGATACAATATTGCAGAATAAACTTTATTATAATAATCTTTTATATAGTATTTTACAGATGATTTTTTTAGTATAATACTATAGTATAATAAAACTTTTATAAATGCATCTTATAAATACATACTCTCTCTAAATACATGCTTAAATTTGGACCCAAATATATATATGACTTTTATAAAAGCACTTTTTCTTATTATTCTCTAAGTACATATTATTAAAATTCAGTTCCAAAAACATATACTTATGAAGGATTTATTGTAGTTGTAACTTATTAAAAAATCTAAATTTTAGTAAACTATAAAAACTGTTATTTTATTTTAAAAGTAATTTAATACTATTTTATTTTTAATTATTATATAAATATAATATTTATAAAATAGATTAAATTATTAACTAATACTAATTTATTTTAGTAAATTTTTTTTTAATATTTTCAAAATCCAAATTTTAAAATTTATTTATTTTAACTAATATATATATTTTCTAAAAATTTAGTTTTTGTAAATATAAAACTTGAAAACCTCAAGTTATATATAATATTAGTAGTTTAAAAAAAATAATCAATATATTTAAAAATTTATAAAAATATATATTTTTAAAACTTTAATAATATTTAATTATTAAAAAAATAAATATTGAAATATGCATTTTATTTTTAATATTAGAAAGACAATATACTAATACATTTATATTTATTAAAAAAATTAATAATAAAGAAATAAATAATTTAATATATTATTAGAAATAAAACTGAACATATATAAAACTTAAAAAATAATTATTATAGTAACTTAATTGCCTAATTAATATTACTTATAATAATTTACTTGAAATATATATACCTGACATCAAAAAAGCTATATGATAATATACAAGTTACAATATGAAATCCTATTACCTTTTCTAATTAAAGAAAAGATGAATCTGAACCAACTTATTTATATTAGAAATAAATATTAATTCTACTTTTCCTATTTGAAATAAATATAAGATGATGACAAAAGATGCAACTATAATAATAATATTAAATTTTAATCTTGGAATAATTGACATTAAAATATTTCTTATCAGTTCTATAATAACTATAAGAAATACTAAAGTAATGAAAGGTTATAAATATAAAAAAGATAAAGATTAGAATAAAAAAGATTGAAATTAAATAGGAATAAGAAGAAGAGTCATAGTCTTGTGTATGCACTTTTCATCATCAGATTATTATAAATAGAGTAAAAATTTTCTTTTTTAAAAAAGAATCTCAATATAATCAAATAATATAGACAAATATGTTTTATAAAATAATAAAAATTATTAATAAAGACTCTCTAAACTTATAAAATCTAATAATGTTTTTTAAAATCCTTATTCTTATCTTATAATGCTTATTAACTATTACCTTGACCTTGTGTTAAATTATAAATCTGTCTCTACCACCCATTGAAAACATTACACAGTATAATCATTTCTCAAGCAATAATTTATTACAATTGCTTTATTTCTGAACTCATCCTAAAAGCCTATAACAATATAATGATCTTTTAGCTAATAAATTAATTTATCTTGGATGTAACTACTTCCAGAATAACTGACCTTTAGCAGATCTTGAATACCACTTAAATATTATTTCTTCATTCTTGTTTGTGCCTATACCATTTTGGCAACACCAACCAAGATTCTTTTGTCCAATGGATCACTTTTTTTCATCCTTGTCTACGCCTATGCCACTTTGATAACACCATCCGAGATGATATTGTCCATGAAAATTATCACCTTCAACGGATTTAAAATACCACTCAAATGCCTTTTTTGCATCCTTTATTGTTCCTATGTCATCTCTGTAACACCAACCGCATTGCATTATCCATGGGAATTGCCACATTCAGAAGATTTTAAGTACCTTTTAATCATCTTTATTAGCACCTATATTATTTTTATAACACAATCTGACATTGTTTTGACCGAGTGAATCACCATCCTTAGCAGACTTCAAATACCACTCGAATGTCTTTTTTTTTTATTCTTACTTGAGCCTATACCATGTCTGTAGCAAAAACCAAGACTACATTGATCACGAAAACTACAACCATCAGCAGATTTCAAATACCACATATATGCTATTTATTCATCCTTTTCTGAGCATATATCATTTTTATAACACTAAGATTATAGACGACAAGAATTACCACTTTAGTAAGTCTTTATATATGATTATCAAATTACATCAACGCGTGAGTTCCATGAATCAAAAATTTAAGTGAAATTTTGATTTATTTATCGTTATTTTTTGGGTATAAAGCAATAAATGAATTGAAAACAGAATTATCGATGCAACAAAAATATAACTTTTATACTATTAAGAATTAATTTGAATATGATTCTTTTAGCACTTTATAAATGGTTAAATAATAACCAAATTATTAAGCAGAATTAGGATTAGAATTTATTAATAGCATTTAATATACACTAAAGGTTGGAACCGGTTTTAATAATTCGGGTTTATCACATGAATTTTGTGATATTTTAGAATTTATTAAAATTTAATTGCTAAAATATCCCAAAATTCACGGGATAAACTCGAATTATTAAAACCGGTTCCAACTTCTAATATACACTATAATTTTAATAGATGTAAACCCACCTATATCTGTAAACAATAAAAATAAAAAAAACATATCGAAATTTCTAACGATAATAATTGGTTTCTTGTTTGTTACTTATGCTTACGCACTTTTTTAAAAAAAATACAAAGAATAAATAAATAAAATTTTGTAAAAAATATCTACTTTAAAAAAATTATTGTCCTCAGTAGATTGCTTACGGTGTATTAATTGAACACGTATCTTTCTGCGTTTTACATTTTCTTTTTTTCTTTTTTGATTATTCTTTCGAGTTTTCTAATTTTTCTTTGCTTTGACCTAATACTCTCCTTTAGTCTTGCGACTTCATCTTCTAACTCATCATCAGTTGTTTGTTCAATAGTACAAATAAAGCGACCTGAAATTTTAGTTTCGGAAGAAATTTTAGTCATCTTCACTTAATGTATCGTTAAAAATTTATTTTTTCTATTTATAAAAAAAAGCCTACATCATTAAATAATATTACTATTTTTTTTGTCATCATTACGCAAAAAAAAAAATCAGATGATTGTTTAAAAGTCTAGCGTCACCAGGCACAGTTATATAGCCAGTTTATAGTTGACGTTGAATAATAATACTGATATGTCGAATGAACTAACGTTTATTTATATTATATATTTCAAAATTAATTTAATGGGTTATTTATTTAATTCAAGTTGAAGTATTTCATAATACAAATAATAAATAATGTCTACAAGCATAAAGATAACTATAAGAATAATAATTAATGTAAATGTTAAACTTTTTTAACAATTTCAAATATTTCATAATCATCTACAGAAAACAATCCTACAATACCATTTTTTAAAATCATCACCTATTTTAAGAAATGTATCTAAAACTATTGCAAATTGTGCATTGATTATTTTGCTAAGACTATATTTCTTCTGGGTTTCATTGTTTAAAGAAAAAAAACTTTCAGTTGTTACCCACCTATTTCCAATATAATAACTTGGCATAGGAGTACTTATCAGTTATATAATTTTTATTGGGAATAAATCCACTGATTATCTCATTTGTTTTACTAACTTTTAAACAATTACTTTACCATACCAATTACTATATAGCTTATTCAAATGGAATTCTGAAACGTCATAATAATTATTTGTTGAACATTTATCAATCCAAGCAGCAAGTAGAAGTCTCTGCGGTATGCTCTAAAATAATCATAGGTGTGAAAATAGATAATGAAACTGAGCTAAAATTTTTTTACGAGCAAGTAAAATTAAAAATGTTACAGCCCTGTTTGGAGCTAGAAATTTTGCAATTATATCATCACTTAAGATTTTTCCAAGAATTTTTTGATTTAGTAAGATTTTATCTAAGGAATCTTCACCAAGAATTTGAAAATATCTAATATGAGAAAGACAATGCTGAAGAGTAATTTTCAAAGAATTGAAATTTTTATTAGTCCACTGTTCAATATTAGATGGTAAATTTCGAGTTTGTTCTTTTCCCCAAAGAATAACTTTATCCCAAATTTCTGATTCATCATCTGCAAATTGTCAGACTTTAAAAGTAAAATCAAGGTATTTTCTTGAAGTATGATGAAATCAACTGAATAAAAAAATCAAAGTTGGATGTGTTACAAGAATATTGTTGCAAAAATGTTGTAAAACTTTAAGATTCTCATTTTGAAGTGAACCTGAGAAAAAATTAAACCTTATCCAAGATGCATTATCTTCAATAAGACGAGATTGAAGAGATTCAATTAATTCAGAAAATTTAAATTCATTGGAAACAGTAAAGAGATCAAATAGAACTGGGGGATCAAATTTTTTAATATTATTTATTAATTTTTATTTTTAAATCGTAAAAACATTATAATAATGAAACGAATAGTGTAGCTTACTTAATTATAATATTAAATATTTCGGAATAGATGTCATTTTTCTTTATTGCATTTACTAGCTTTTGGTGAAAATATAAAGAACGTTGATACATGATCAATGAATAAGCTTTAAAAAATCGGGCATTTCGTCCTTTACCAATTTCAATTATCACATTATAATCATATTCACTTTCAAGAAGTTGGGTAAAGACTTGAGAAAGTTTATCAAAATTTTTCATATTCATTTTTCTAGAAGGCATAAATTACTTTAAAGCAAATTATCGGGTATTTCAGAAATGTATTGTATAAACTTGTTTGTAAGTAATTTATACTATCATTTGTATAGATGTAGGCTAAGAAAATTTATGGATGTATCTATAGTTAGAAAAACTTATAATGTTTGTCTTTTATAAATGATATCTGTTTAATAGTTAGGGTTAGGGTGAGCGTTAATATTGCTCTTTTTTCATGTCATGATTAGTATAAATCTCTACTATAAATACTTTATTAACTATACATCAGATTATCACGTATGTGTACGTACATACATACGGGGTAACTCAACTAAGTAAATCTAAACTATGTGAGAAACTATAGAGTTTGATATATTAAAGAATTTTCACGTTATACGGATGAAAATCAAGATCGGAAATGAGTTACTACTATTATGGCTAGCGTTTTAGAATTTATTTACATGATTAAGCGATAAATTCTAAATGTTTTAACTCATATTGAGACATGAAATTACCTTGAAATTTTCACAAGTTGGTTATAAAATGTTTAAGAATAAAATTGTGTTTAAATTTCTTTATTAATATGAGTTTGGGGTATTCTTCTGCAGAATGCTCTAAATTTCATTAATTAGAATTAAAAAATTATCTTAAACATGCAAATCAAAATTTATTCGGAATTTTACAAAAAATTCCAACATATTTACTTTAAGATAGTTCTGGCGTAGTGTTGTCAATCGAAAGAAATTATATAAATAAGTACAATTTTTGTGGGAAAACTTTGGAATTTTACGTTTTTTTATAATTAATAGGTTTAAAATCGGTTGATCGTTTATTTTTTAATTTTACTGATAAAAATCTAGAAACCGTCAATGTTACCTTCACCAATTAATTATTTATTTTGAGTTTACTCTAAAATGTATTTTATGGATATGGATACGTATCATTTCATTGATAATCACTTCACCGAACACCTTATCACACAGCGTAATGAGTAATATTGAACAATAATTATTAATCATCAAACAATCGTTAAATATTAACCATCGCTCTGTGCGATGGGGTGTTCGGCGAAGCGATTGTCGATGAAATGATACGTATCCTATGGATGGATGGATATAATCCCTCACCCCGTCGTTCACACGGGGTGATCAGTTAAACTGAAATTATTTATATGTAACTTCAAGTGTGATGGATATAACCCTCACTTGGTGTAACGTTAACGGTTCCTCCTGTTATATAATTGACATAGTTTTGATTTACTTAGTTGAGTTACCACCACAATACGTATGTACGCAGTACAAATAATTTGTTATGCAGGCTACAATAAATTGGAGCAATGGTTTGTAAGACCAAGAACTCAATCAAATAAATCGTTTATGACACATATTTTCAAAAATCTTAAATTAAACAGCATATAGTTTGGTAGGTGAATTTAGGATTTGAAATCAACTTAAATAGGTTATAGAATACAAAATCAATTTACTTTCGGATATATCGTTTAATAATAATATTTATATAATTTGCAATGTTTTTAGTTTAAAATATCTAATTTAAAAGTGAATAAATTATTTAAGAATGCTATTGATAAAAAGGCATTAGATAATACATTATCGAATGTTTCCTACCATCACATTCTATTTCATTCACGAGTTGTTTTAAAATTCAAAATCCACTTAAATAACTCAAAGTCCATCCAAGTGGATTTTGAATCTAACTACATCAGCTTTTAATGCCGGTTGTTCAACAGACACACGAAGCTTTATAAATGATAGTAAAACTGGTTACTGTATTTGAGATATATTTGGCCTGAATTAGGATATCATATGGCCTGCATTAAATTTCATCCGGCCTGCATTAACATTAATGGACCAATTTCTAATTATGCATAAAATTAATACACATGCATTTCTTTTTATTTGTTTATCTTTCTATATATCAATATATATGCGTATCCTTGATTTAAATTTTTTTTTGCCGTTGGTAGTTCTTACTATTCCTTGTTATAATAAAATATATAACCATTATTAAGTCATTCTTTAAGCAACGTTATTATAACATGGGTGTTAATAAACCAATTTGGCATCATTTTGAAAAACTTGAATAAGACTAAGATTATAAACAAGGATATGCTAAATGTATGATTATTTAAAATATATCCTAGTGATAATATTTATATATATATTTTATAATTTATGAAAAATTGAAAAAACTTTATTATATTCTGCGAATCCCGCGCGGCCGCTCGAGATTTTTAAAAAACTGCGATTTGCTCATCACTACCTACACCACATATTCCATGAAGTGCTCTAGTACGTCTACCCAATATTGAACCCAAAACCTCCTCTGCCAGTAAATTTGCTGCCCGATACGAAAGTATCGGAGCAACTTTTTGTCTCGAATCGAACACGGAGTGTAATTAATTAAGTAATGCGTAGTTTTTGATTGATGAACGATGGAGTCTATTGTAAAGGTCACGTACGATTTGTTAGCGTTGATAGTATTTTATCTGGTGATCGTAGAGTCTGTTAGAATAACGACGTAATTACGTAGTTTTTTGGTTAGTTTTAATTAGTAATCGCTGGGATATATTTAAGGGAGTATAGGATTTTCCCAGAAAAAAATAATTTCTGTAACCCACCCTCAAAGGAGTGCCAGTGGTAAGCTGTTAGTAAGTTGTTTTGTTAATTCTGTTCTTGGTGCAAATTCGGCCTGTCGGATGACAGCCAATTCAAAGTTCAGTAGGTGACCTGTCGGACGACAGTCACGTTATTGTCCGTTTTTGTTTTTTGTGTTCACAGGGGGTTCGGATTTGACCTGTCGGACGACAGTCAAATTTAGTATGACCTATCAGGAAAAATAGTTATGGAAAAATTTACGTTCAGTTAGACGTTGCGTTTGGGTAAGTTGGTTTGAACGTAACCTGAGGAAAGGAAAGAAAGCAGCCGTAGAAGGCAGTGAACTTGCCTATAGCTAAGGGTTTTTGGCACGTCTATTTACATGTTGTTGGCACTTTTAGTTGGTTTATTTGTACGTTTATTTGCACATTTATTGGTACGTTTAGTTGCACTTTTCTTGGCATGTTTCTTGGCACTTTAGATTACCCATAATGTATTTCATTGTATTTATTACTAAACACCCCGATGAGAGACAAAAATCCGAACAATACCGTATTAATCACTCGCCAAATCTAACACACCTCATTCGACACATTAGTACGCTCCTAAGTGGTTACACGAGAAATCCGATTGTGGAGCGACTGACTTGCCGTTTTACGGTTACACCGACATGATCAAATAATCGTTATGGATAATTTAGCTACGTAGTATAATAATCCTACCACCAAGATATGTACGGAGTTTTAACGATTAATATGACGATCCTGTATTATTGTATCACGTGCATATCTCGAATCCGATGAAGAAAAAAATTAGACAGCGCCAAGGGAAAACCTGTTATCGGGCTTTCAATTATATTTTGTGTTCAGTTTGTTTCCAGAGTGCCGTCTAGAGAAAATCTATTATTGGGCTTTTAATTATATTTTTAAAATATATTTGATTAAACCGAAAGCCTGATGACAGGTTTTCCCTTGGCAGCACTCATATTATTTAGCATTGCCATATTATAGTACATCGCGTTCAACTACACAAGTTCCTGTTTTACTACTTCATTAGCTCGTTCATGGCTTTGAACTTTATAACGGATGTTTTGTGGTATAGGAAACGAATATAAATAATATTCAACAGCTTCGCTCAAATAGTAATTGAGCATCTCTGTCATTGCCTATGCAAAAAAGAAGCCATCTTGCATGAAGAATTAATGCAATTTTTGAATTGTATTTATTGTCATAGGCAAACCCCACCCTCGCAAAACGACCCCTAAGTAATGGAACGACGATCCCCTTTGCAGCTGTAGATGACTATTATTTAAACTTTACCAATCCTGGCAGAGATGGTGTTGTCATTGGTGCAGAACATTCTTTTAGACTAGCCACTGCAACAAATCAGTATGCTCCTAAATACATTCCACTTAATGATGAACATAAGCATTTAGCTGGTGAAATTGCTGATGGTTTCTTTGAACAATTTCGTCTCTCTTTCAAAACACAAAAATAACACCTCCTGAGATATTACTCTATTATCTTGACCCGAAGATTAAATACAGTCCTGGTTTACCTTATCTTGCTAAATTAAAAAAAAACGCCGTGAATTTAGAATGTTAGGTTATGAGGACTTTAATTAAACAAACTTCGTCTAACTTGCTTAACGGTATTTATCCAAATCAATTTTATCATGCTTATCCAAATCAATTTTATCATGCCTTTGGAAAATCCCAAGTTGTTGATATTTCAAAAGTTCTGACTGGAAAAGATATTTGGACCGTGACAGCTCAAGACTTAACAACTTATTTCATTGATCAAGTTGTTCAACTTGAACGAAATAGGCGAATAACTTGGCGAGATACTGGAATTGAAATAGGCATGATTCTAAATCAAAATATGGGATATCTTTTCAAAGAAATGCAAAAATTCATATCCCAAGGTGGAATTTTTGTTGAGGCAGATGCAACAGCCTTCGATTCACATCTGAATCGCTTTCTATTTGAAGGATTGAAGCTTGAAAATCATCCCAAAAGAAATGAAATTACATCTATTTTTAAATGTAAATATGATCAAATACAAGATGCCTATATTTTTGGTATAACTGAGTACTCGTGCAACATATTCTCATTGGGGATTGATTCTTTCAAAGATTATCAATATATTTTAGCTGCATACCCTAATCGTTATATCACGTACAAAACTTTCATTGATAACATTAACAACGAAAATTTTCTGAAAGCTAAAATTATCTTACAACACTCCGAACATTGTTATTCAAATACTGGGTTAGCTATCTTAACAAATAACCTTGAGGCTTATAATAATGAACATTGTGTCGTAGTCACGTCAGTTAATTGCTCTGAAACTATCAAACTTAAACAAAAGTTAAAAGATAAGCTGGTTAATAAGATCATTCTGGATCCGCAATTTCGAAAAGAAGCCATTCAAACCGATAACTGGTCTAAGATCTATAGGCTATGGCATGAAATCATCAATGGTTCAGATAATTTTGATCCATGATCCAGATCAAGTACAAGATAATGATTTTAATATCATAATAATTGACATGTCTAATTTTGAAAACAAAACTTACTCAACCTTAAACTGATTGGCATTGGAATCTAAATTTTATCAGTATCGAACACATCATTTACATGAATTCAATCCTCACCGCATCAATCGTCTACACAAGAATTACAATAATATTCCGCAATGCCTTGGAAATTTTATTAACCCATACCGGTTATAGGTCAGCTGGTCAGAGAAGCTCCCTTATATTGTATCCATTCAAAGATCATCATTCCTAATGAACTCAATGACTATAAGAATTATGAAAAAATCCTAGAGAAATACAAGAAACATGGTTTGAAAAAAAAAGAGATGCTACGGTTGCAAAAAAACAAAAATGTTCTGTTGATGAAGTAATTCATAAAAGAACTAAGTTTTTGCTCTTAGGATACTACCTTAAAAGATTTTTTATGAAACATTCACTTTAAAAATCGAGGAGGAGGAACTGAACAATCTGCCACATCATGGGATAACACATGGGCATTTAGAATCACTTTCATTGCTGCTTGGTTACATTATCACAATTATAAATATCTTATTTCAGATTTCTTTAAGCAAAATCTACTTTATAATAATGGTGATGATTCAATTTGGGGTTGCAAGATTAAACGCAGCCGTCTAAATATGGATCGATTCATAGATGCCTTTAATTATTTTGGAATGGATCTTGAAGTCGAGTTTCATAATGATATTGAAGCTATCCAATATTTGGGTAATCGAGTGTATTGTCTCGATAAAAAACATAATCCTGATATCTGGCTACTATGATCGATTACGAAATTTCAACCAAGATTCGCTTTATCTGAACCATGGCCTTCCTTTTTAGTTTACCATGATAATTCTGCAACGCTCCAAAGACGTATTTCCACTCGTTATTATCAAGCTTCACCAAAGTCATATCAATACTTACACGCTTCAATTATGAGATCAGTGGGCAGGCTTGTAATACAGCTTGGAACCCTGATCTATATCGTATGTTTGCAAATGAATTTATTGATGATGTTTAAAAGTTAGCATATAAATTACGAGTTGAAGTTCCTCACATGACATTAACCACAGACCAAAAATGTAAAGATAAAAATAAATGGTTCCTTCAAGTTAATGTCGAGAAAAAGAAAATGTTATCAGACATGTCTGTTCAGCAACGTGACTTCATCAATTTCTTTAAATCATTCAAGTTCCCAACATACTATTCAGTTCTCAAAACTCAATTAAAGATGCGTGATGAAGATATAAATAAATATTATATTTATTATAACAAACTTCTTAAAGGTGAAAGCTTCTAGAAAGATACACCATATATTCTTAATGACGAGTTAACTGAGTTTTTCCAGCAACTACCACGTCAATCATACAAATACCAACCAACAATTCTTACTTTATTACCTGATCCTACTTTTCACACTATTAGCATGTATTCCGAAAAATTCCTTTACCCTCAAAATTTCTATTTCAATTACAATACCAAATCTGAAAATTTCATTGCCGGAAGTAGTTATCCAAAAAAGGTGTTAAAAAGTGAATTTATCCTTCAAACACTTAATTTACCAAGATCATTATACAATCACCAGTTGGTGGTTATTGTGACAGTTATGCTTTTCTATATAATCTTTGAAATAACCCAGAATTCGCTATGGATATCTTTTGTTATGACAAAGAAGACTATGACCTATGCAATTAAACACCTATGCAGGATTGGTAATTGCACAGTCATTAGCTTTCACTGGCACGCTAATGGTAAATCCTCATCCGATTGGTCAGCACTCATGCATAAAGATCTATATATCCAAATGAAACAATTTGCAACTTTTATTACGTATTGACTGTATGCCATATAAGCTTAGTTTATTATTGTTATTATCTTCCATCTCGTTGATAAATTTGCTAAGCTCATAAGAAAATGGCAACAGGCTAAGATGCAATCTCAGGAAAGACATTCTTCTGATCGTGCTGCTCCAGATCTCACTAAAGACTATACAACAGTGAATTCGAATTCCTTCGTCAATGGCAATTACCTGATCCCATAATTTTGAATTCTATAACTGGTTCTGTATGAACATAATATTAGTGTCACGGAAGATCCTTAGAGATAATTTTAGTATTTATAGAACAAAAGTCTATTCTGACATGTCACAAAAGATCTCCCAACCTCAATATTACGATGCTCAACGAATTACAAAAGACCCATCTTTATGTTTGATGAGTTCCACGAAAAGGATACAGATATGCTTAAATCCTTTGATCTTATGAAACAAGATAATGTTGCATATAAAATAGTATTATCATCAGCTACACCATCTGCTCCTCCACAAATCCTTCATACCACGACTTTCGATACTGGTTTATAGCTAAGTACTATCATTAAATTTGAGGATGATAACCTGCCATTTATCTCCGAAATGGTGGCCATGCAGGAAGGTTTTGAAACGGCAAATTCTCAACGATCAACTTATGCACTGCATAGAGGAAACTCCACTAAATCAATCCCTGATGATCAAATGAATATAGCTACTAATGTAATAAATGCAGGAATAGACATTAAAGGTTTACGATGTCTAATTGACACAGGACTTGATTTGGTAATGATCGAAACCAATTAAAACAAATATCCAAATCATCGGATGTGTTGCTCGTTATAGTGATGGTTTAGTTGTCCAACATCCAAGATGTGATACTGGCTCTGAACTAATTCCATATGGTTCAATTATGGACTTTGGTTGCATACGAAAGTTGTACCGTGTGTACTCCTCTTTTTTTTCACGGGACATGAAAAATTAAGTCAGGGAGAATTGTCACAGGTAAACCCGACCCTCTCAAAACGACCCTTGAAACGCTCTATGAAAAACTGTCAACACTGTGACCTTGAGTAATGGAACGATGATCCCCTTACAGCTGTATGTACCCGGGTTGTAGAAAAAAGGAAAAAGGCATCAAAGTGACGTGTATCTTGAGGACCCATGGGACTGCCAACGAAATAGGACGGTTGAAGTAACGCGGAATTATTAGTCCTAAAAGTCATTTACAACTAAGAGAGGAAATAAGGCAATAAGGAAAATAGATGCAAACGATGATTAATAGATTACATAATAAATACGGATTTTAAGTAATAAAGAAAATTAAAGGGGTACATGAGGGATAATAGGGTTAATATGTTTAATATCTTAAAGAATGCATATGTAATTAAATAATATATATAATAAAGGCTTCGAGCCCTACGAGGCTGAGTAGTCTGTGCTTATAATAAAATTTGACCTTCATACTTTCCTGCTTTTGCTACATTATAATACCTATGATCACAAATACACCATTCTTCAAATCTAACCACTTCATATTGACTAAGCCATTTATAAGTTATATACAACTTGATTGTTAAGTGACTGACTCACCATTTCACTTATGTTAGTAATAAGATTATGTGATGCAAGAAACAGATAAAAAATAAAAAAAATAATAATAAATTAAAAATAAAAAAAATAATAATAAAATAAAATAAATAATAAACTCTTTCTCGTAGATTCCAAAACAATAAGTAAACAAAAAAGAAAAATCGCAAAAACCTAACTAACTAAAGGACAGGATAATAATACTAACTGCAGGACAACCTGCGACCTTCTATATACTAACCTAAAACAAACTAAGATACACCATTACAGGAAACAAGAGGAAACGCAAACCCAATACCGAAAACAAAGAAAATATTCAAAGGCCTTTAGGGCCTACAGCTGACTTTACTTTTACAGCAACACAAATTCTTAACATGCAGAACAGTCATAAATATTCTACCAGACAACAGAAACAACCTCAACACAACCAAGCTCCTTATAATCGACCTAACAAAAATGACAAAGATATTACAAACAAGCGTCAAAAGACCTTGATACCATTATTGAAACAAAACAACAATAGTGGGGAAAGTAACTTACCCTCATCTAACAACCACATGACTGCACGCACAATCAACTACAATAACAACACAACAAAACAAACAGGTTTAACCAACAATAAAACCAGTTTCATGGGCAACAACAACAACTACGTAACAATTACTCAAAACAATAACTCTCGTATTACCATAAGTGATATACAAACACAAGCACATAGTTCCAATATAGAAATAGTAATTGCACATGCAGTACAGCACACCCTAGAACCAATTGACACCAACCACCAAACTGAGCCCTCCCAAACAGAGATGCACCCTGACCAAAACATGGAAACCGAGTCCGTTAACACAATACTAAGTACTGGAAACTTAATAGAGAATGATACACAAACTAGACATATATACAGCCAAGCAGTTAAAGGTGAAACAATGACAGACACAGACCCAGAAAGTAACACAGACTACATGCAAATGTGAACAGAACAACTAAACCAAAACATCGATGAGAAAATATCAGACTCCTTTGATCTAACACTCTGAAATTACCAACTTACAACAGAAGCTTTTTAATCAAAAGAAAAACTACAAGAACTTATTACATATAAATTTAAGACCAAACCTGCACAACAAATACTACCATATGTAATTGAATCTAAATTTAGACATACGGATCACACCTTCTTTACTACCTTCACAAAAGCTAAATGCTTTATGCCTCAACATCAAATAGAGTATGAAAATCTATTCACAAATGCAATACAAAAATACAAAACTGAAAACAAAATAACCATTACTGACAAACAAACAAGAGACAAAATACATCTTAAACTCTGTCAAAAACTGTATATCGATCACATCACCAATACGAACTTCAACACATGTTCACAAAAACACATATACCAACTACTAACATATTATAAAGGCTTCACAAGAGACGAAAAAGCAATAGACAAAGAAGACATACAAAAGACAATTGCAGAGTCAACAAAAAGCAAACTACTAAACTTCCTGATACACCAATAAGAATCTCAGATGAGATAAAAACCATCCTACCATTCGAACTTCTGATAAAACTCAAGTCACAAACAAAAGCCATAGTTACAGCATTACACAGAATTTTCAAATTTGAAAAGCTACCACCTACCTACTTTATTGAACTTCTACCGTTACCACACGATATAAATGACCTAGATTACAGAATTAAACACCTTTTTTTAATAACAGAAAGAAGAGAACTAGGAAGACTCGCATATTATAAAAAACGTCTACAAGAAGTTTATAGCTTCGACAAAATCCCAGATCACTTCTTCAACTTACCTCCACCAATGCCAGAAAAACCAGCACTCCCACCTGCATATCAAGATATAGAAGATCCTCAACTAAGAGCATGCTTTCCAATAGACAGAGCTAATCAGGATACAAATATGCAAGATATCGTTACAAAACTTAGAGAATACTATACCTTCCAAAATATCCCAAATGATTACTTCTTAGTAAAACCCAGTCTGCCAAAAGATCCAAGCAGAATCAAAACTCAGAACACATATACATACCCAATTACTGACGATACAGAAGCAGCAACCTTCATACATGAAGTCAAAAGAACATACAAAATTACCTTACCCATCTCAGAAGCTATTATGACCACCAATCCTACAAACAAGCCCAGATTACCTACTGACCCTGCAATAATTACAGAAGTCAACCTTACTATTCCAATAGATACACCCTAAAGAATAACAGAAACTGCATGCCTTCTTAGACCTTACTACTATTTTCAAAAGCTGCCTACACAATGGATACAAATATCAGAAATAAACAAAGAAACAATAGATGAAACAGGCATCAACAAAGAAGCAAAGCCACAGATATCTGACAACATTGAACAAATACAAGAAGACCTCAAAAACCAGAAAATTGACACAACCGACATTACACTACCAATAACAATCCAAGATACTGCAACCTCAATACTAGCAAAACTTAGACAACACTACACAGTTAAAGCAATACCTGAACATATTCTAAACTACCACCACTCTCTGAACCAGAATGGAAGATATTTTGCCCTTATCCAAATTAAATGCAGTACAACAAAAATAAGAAAAAGATACTACTACTTACTAACATAATAACTCCAAACTCACTAGAAAACACTTATCACAAACCCTTAAGCCCACTCCCTTCACAAATCAGCAACGACCTGACAATAGTAACTCATAATGTACAAGGTCTAAATGACAGACTTAAACTACAATTATGG